CAACACAATAGCCAGTATCATCGTCAGGTGGTCATTGCCGTCGCTTCTAGAAGTGACACCGCCATCATTGTTGCCATGTAAACCATTACTTCGAGAGTCATCACGGGACGAAGCAGGCAACGAAACGGCTTTCGATCCTGACGTACACGTGCTGTTTTCCTTGCAGTAGAACGTCACCGACTCATTGACGTTGTATCTCGTGTAGAATGCTTTCAAGAACGTTCCTCCGATGATCCACGTATCGGCATTTGCACTCGTGCCTGAGGCTGACTGCACTTCAACGACCATGACATTATTTCCCAGATCCATCATGTAGTCTTCTTTTTCCAGATAAAACGTCACGTATCCAAACGTGAGTGCAAGTCGCGGGAGCGCAACATCTTTCGAACACACGTAGACTTCAGAGCCAGCTGAGTACAGCGTGCAACTCGACAAGTATCTTGTGACAAAGTCGCTGTAGATCGAGCTAGGCATAACCAGGAGCGAAGTGCCAGAGTCCACGATACTATCGCAACTTCCACGACTCGATTCTGAGCATGGAAACACCGCTTCGTCCTTGCCAATCTGCAATGCTGTCATGCCGATCGTCCAATGAGTCAAAGTAGTCGACTTCAGATCGATCGTATGCGGTACGAGATCGTTAGTCGCGATCAGGTCGTCGTCAACACCATTAAGGAGCAAGAAACTACCCTTGGCATCATCCTTTCGAGTCAAGTACATGGAGAAGTCCGTCACATAGTCGATAACTTGTCCGCGAGGAGATGGAAAAGTAGCGAGCGAACGATATGCCAGTCCAAAGAGCCCTTTTGCCTCACCTACCAGTAGTGAAGTGGTGCTGCGAGGGCTCGCGTGATTGCCATAAGCTACGCCCACGCTGTAATCAGGGATCGCCACGTTGCCAAACTTCACGTCGGCAATGGTTGGTAGGACGCAGACATCACCTGAGCCGTAGGAAATGGTCCTAGCACCTAATGGACACGTCGAGTCACAAGGTAGATACTTGATACTGTAGCAAGCGATCCAGAGATCAGAAGACCCGGTATCGACTTGCACCACGTACGTCGTGCCATTAAGTTCTAGGTCTGCAAAGTAAATCGTTCCCTGGTAGTTTACCAACTCCACGACACTGGAATCGTCCTTGGCACTTGCTACGAGGCGGCGCAAGTGCGTGTTTTGTAGCGAATCGTGCCACATTGGGACTCGTTCGAGCGGGTTCGAAAACGTCGCCATTGTCCAAGGTGAGACTTTCGAGAAAGTCAAGAAGTACCACTTGGACGCGACTACTTCTACACTGTCAGTTGCAGCGCGGCGACAAAGGGCGTGGGTACCACCTCACTTGAGTTCCGTATGTGATGCCCGCACACTTGATGCTGCAACTTCCGTCTCGAAGGTGCGAGTTTTCAAAGAAAAGAGCGACTCTAGTCGAAGAGCTCCTTGAAGTGTAATCTGCCTGATGGGTTGAGGGATGACGTGACGATGGCGCGTAGACTGAACTGCAACTTGTTTCGAGTCTATTTGGATGCGACATCGATGTTGAATCAGCTCAGCGTGACACTTGTGATTATGACACATAACTGTGTGACGCTTGATGCATAAGGCGCCCGGACCCAAGAAACACGGCACGTTGTCAGCGAGTCGCATCGTCATCCTTGCACACTTGGCTCTTTTACACTCACCCACCGTGCTTGTCAGATTCTCTAGCCAAATTGTGCGAGGAAATGTTGAAATGGCGATTCCTTACAGCAGTCGATACCTGAACGAGTCCGAGTGCCACGCAGTCTGCTGCAACGTTCGTTAATCTTTTAAGTGACCAACCACTGACTATTTCATGTTTGTTAGTTGTTTCATACGCAGATCGATAGCTTTCGAGGAAGAACGAGGACAAAACTAGCCGCGATCCTGTAGCAGGCAGTGGCCCCTGCGGTCTATTGCAACGCTCTGTGGTTTATCAGTAAGTTAGTAACATTATTTTTGAACCTACATCTTCAGCGAGCAGCGAAGCGACGCGAACTATAATACGACCGACTAGATTATTCAGCGCAAGCCGTCCTAGGCGGTACATGTTAAGCAGAAGAGCTTATAGTAAGGCCTTGTACACGGTGACCCGTTTCCCGAGTCATCGGTAGTTTTTGCAGCAACGTGTCACCAAGATGGCGCTTACAGGCGGGACCGACTCATTTTAGAATCCAGGACATAATTATGCACAGTAGACGAAGCAGCAAAATATACGACATAGAACAGACATACGACAGATGGCCTGAGCACCACGTACTCATGCTCTCAGATCTAGGATATGGTCTATTTTAAGTCAGAGATGAACTAAAAAAAGTCTAGATTATGCACCGCTTGAAGACTAGCGACGTGATTGTCACGAAGATCAGTCCTCTACAGGTCAACGCAATCAAGAAAGAGTCGTGCGATCCCTTGCGGGTACAAGGCCAAAGAATACCGTTTAACATGCGTATGATCATGACGTCCTGCTAGCATGACTGGACAATTCTGGCGTCATAAAACCTGCTGCATCTGTTCTAGATCATGGTGCAGGACTAAAACAGGACCAAATTGAAGCTAAAAACGATCTTTGCTTCGTGCCGTTAGCAAGGATTGACAATGGAAAAATGACTAAAAGAAGAGTCTGGCACCTTAAAATACCATGAACAATGACGTCGAACAATCGCCAACTTTCATATCGGACATTGTCGTGGTAATCATCATTCAGTTCAAAGTTGTCGAACAGCTTTATTAACAATGTCCTCGAGTCGGCCATAATCTATCGAAACGTCACAGTAGCAGAACGTCGATGTTGGAAAAAAGCAGACGGTACAAAGACAAGTGCTTGATACCATCGTGCAGAACGAGCTGCATCGGCTACCTCTGAGGAGCTGGGAAGACCATGGCGCTAGGAAGCAGCAAAGATTCCGCTGGACAGGGACCACGCAAAAAGCCGGTCAAGTGGAGCTGAGCTCCTCGTGAAAGTGATGGCGATACCAAGTCCATCTTCACTATTGACTTGCACCATGTATCTGCCGGGTAAAAGCTCTCGGAAACCACTTGGACTGGTGCTTTGCACAGTCCTTCGATGGTGTGTCGTGGTGGCCACGTCTCCAGCAGACGTCTCCATTCAGACGTCTCGCTTCAGGTCTCTCTCTCGAACACTTGTCTTGATCAGTCCTGTGGTGCTGTTTGCGACTTGTCGCTGATTTGCAGAGCTTCAAACAAGCAGATATCAAGGAGGTAGGCGGTCAATCCCCAAATGACGTGCGGACCACCCGTGAAGACCGGCGTGGCGTTGCTGTGACGAACCCAGTTGTCCTGGTTCATCAGATCGCGCAGTGGCACGGTGAAAAGTGACTCCACTTCGTCTTCATTAATCGCCACAGTCTGATCGCTCATCTCACCGATAAAGCCCACGATCGGCGTAACAGCAATGCCTGTGATCGAAGTGACGCTGGACCAGTCGCAGCGGAGGACACCAAGGACGTCGACGCTTTCAGGAGCAAGGCCAACTTCCTCGTTCATCTCGCGGAGACACGTGCCTTCAATACACGAGTCATTGGCATCTACCATGCCTCCTGGAAAGCACACCTCGCCTTTGTGCTTGCCAACAGTGAGTGAGCGTAGCGTAAAGAGCACCGACGGTTCACCTTTGAACGTACAGAGCGGAATCACGACAGCTGCTCGTGCAGAGTACGCCTTTGTGATCTGACGTGGCAGTCGGCTCAGCCGCTTGCGGATGCGTTCAAGATGACGTGGCCCAAATGCTTTAGCAAGTGGCGTCTGCCTCTGAGTCGTTGGCTCACGCTGAGCAAAGTCTACAGCACAAAAAGCGAAGACAAATTAAGCCACCACAACAAATGAGGTAGCCGACCTCCAGCAAGAACCTCACCATGATATGGCTTGAGCACAGTCTCCAGCTGGTCCAATTTGCCTTCACACAGTAGCTCCGCACAGAGCCAGAGCGTATATTCCCGGTCCTGATACGCCGCAGCAAGTGCGGGCGCCGTGTAATTGTCCACCAGGAAGCTCGCGTCCATCCGTGGCTTGTCAAACGCACGAGAAAACAACTTGGTGTCTCGGACTGGAGGCTCCTCGTTCTCGTCGTGGGCATTCGCACGGCCTTCAGCTTCCACATGCTTTTTGACTTCCGTCGTCGCAGCATCTTGGTGACTGCTGCTGTGGTAGTACAAATGCGACGGACCAGTGGTAGCCAAGTGCTTTGACATGGCTACACAAGGAGAAGCCGTCGACTGCTTGTCAGGTGACTCCAAGCTATCGAAGGAAGCGGAAGACGCGGTCGCAAAGACGCGACGCAACGTCACGGACCGGATCGAGACGACAGAGGGCAGCGGGCAGCACCGCATATGGTGCATGACTAAGTGGGGGTGACTCGGCGCTGAATTATCAGCGGAAGCGTCGGCTTGAGCTGGTTTGCGTGTGATGGATTGATAGTTAATGGAAGGTTGGCAAATGTTTACGTGGGACACGATCAGTCGATTTTTGCGTGAGTTATCGCGATATTGTGGAACCGCGTCAGCTTTACTGGTGTCGTAGGTGGCTTTTGTGAGAAGATGTAAGCATGTGATTGGTAGTAAGAGGTGGTGGGAGTTTGGTTTTAGCCAATTGACGAGCGTAAAGTGTGAACATTAGCAACAGTGGCTGGCTGCTGGCTGCTGGCTCTTGTGTGATACGAACGACGGCGGGACTGTAAATAGTGAGCGCCATGTCGCATGGCGCCAGCCTTTGCTTGGGTGAAAATGAGAGTATCTCAGCCAATCGAACACGCGCTGCGTGGAATGTGGTGTGTCACACGCCAATGTGGTCATGACGAATATGCCATTATCAGTCAGTTTATATAAAATGCAAAAAGTGAAGGAAAAAAAAACACAAGACCTATCCAGCAACCATCATCTGAGAATGATGTCGGCCACATCCACTGCCGCCGTCACAAACCTTCCAAACAGCCTGCCTCCCGTTTGACAAGCTCTCTCCTCCAGTCACTCATGCAGCACAAATGCCGAGCGGCCGCGAGCGAAGACGTCAACAACGCGACGCCATTGTTACTTCACGCGTACACGCACGACAGTGTCCAATCAGACTCGACCACCGACGATCTGCGGATGAAAAACGCTCCAGAGGAGTGCAAAGTCGTGGTCAAAACCGAGCCAGGTGTCGAGGCGTTGCCGCCGTCGTCGTTGACGGTAGTTTCTAAAATCAGTACTCTTTGTTTGCAGGGCAATGGTCCGTCGTTCGAGACCGAGGCTCCTGCATTCGACTCGGTTCCACGTGCCTTTTCGAATTCGAATAGTCAAACCTACGATACTGACTCAAGTAACACCATGAGCGACAATGACCCGGTACCATTTTTAAATTCACAACGTGTACCACTCCACGTCGTTTCGACGCACGACAATTTGTTCGAACTTCAAGATGGGACAAAAAAAGACGCTGGCCATGGTGATGATATCCAAGCCCAACCCCCCGTCGCGTTACTTCCGCATCCACCACCTTTGTCAATAGACGAGGCAGTGGATTTTCTGAACCCCTTCTCGTGTCTCACATCCGATGAATACGACGATATCGAGTTACATGGGAATTTCAAGCACATGATGCACATGTTGATCCCGTCCAATGCCACTGCCGCTCTGCTGGAGCGTCGCGGCCAACCGATTCAAAGCATTGGCCAGCAATCCAATTGCACGCTCTTCATACGGGACCGCGACTCATCACCATTTAAAGAGGACCGTCTGCTCTGCCTTCAAGGAACCGCCAAGTGTATCAGCTTGGCCCAGCGTCTTGTGATTGCGTACATTCGTGCATTTCGAGCAAAGAAGGGCGATCCCAACTACATGGAGCTATTGACTGGGGATTCCAATGTACCACTTGTAGCAGTGACGTCGATTTCAAAAGCCATGGACGTTGCAATGGCTAGTAAAAAGAAAAATGAAGTGACCATTACCAACCCGTTTGTCTGGATGGTTCAACGCGAAGACGTTGGCAAGATGATGGGGAGGCAAGGAAGTGTGCTACAATCGATCCGTCGGGACACCGGAGCTTCTATCCGTATTGAAGACGAGGTCGCTCCTGGCACGACTGAGAGACGAGTGGTGCTGAGTGGAGCGGTGAAATCCATTGCGGCAGCAGTGGAAAAGATCCGAAAGAGAGCGGGTGGGCGCTCGGAAGTGACTGCAAGTGCGACAAACGGTCGACTTGGACGGTACTTTGCTATTCCGTGTCATTCTGCCGGTTACCTCATTGGTCCGCAAGGCTCTACGATCAAAACCATTACGGAGCGCACGGGTGCACGCCTGCAAGCTCCTTCGACAGAGGATCTGCCTCTGGGTAGTATCAACCGGATACTTCATATCCAAGGCACTCCGAAACAGACCGAGCATGCGCGACGAGTTGTTAGTGCCAAGTTACGTGATTATTTGGCCACTTCCACGAGCCCACAAACTTTGAGTACGGTCTCGACCGGCGCGAAGGGTGACAGGGTCACAATCAAGGTTCTCCTACCGTCCAGAATCTGCGGGTTTATGCTAGCTGGCCGAGGCAAGCTTATCCGCGAGATTTCCGAAAAGTCAGGGGCTCATACGCACTTCTTAGCCGCCCGTGATGGAGACGGTAACCGGGTTTGCGTTTTTGCTGGCGATATGAGCTGCGTACTTCGTGCGCAACGTCTAGTGTTGCAGTTCATTGCCGGAGATGTCATTTCGTCGAAACAGGTCGGTTCACGCCGGAAGCGAAAGCGTCTTCAAGAAGGTGAAGAAAAGGACAGCAATCATGACGAAGTGAAGGAAGAGTACGTGGGCAAAGGGGAGTTATGTCACAATGGTGAAGTGTACAGAGAAAGCTGCTTTGATGACGCGTTACGTCTAGCTCAGTTGCATCCTGTGCGACAACAGCATGCGCGACGACAGCAAATTCGCCATACTCGACGTGATTGTGTAAAAGGCGAAGAAGAGCGGTACGTATACGATGATGGTATGGTATGCGTGGAGCATCATCTACGGCAGCCGATACACCAACGACCGGTTGTCATTTGTCCCTGTGAAACCTCTGAGGATGACTACGCTGTCGGTGAGTATAATCACAACGAGTGCGGTCGTGATGACCGTGTGTTGTACGTTGTGCCTCGGCCGCAGGGTTCAACGAGGCTGGCAATTGTCCGTCGACAGCCTGCTGATAGGCATGGACACGAGCATGATGACAGTTGCGAAGAAGATGCCGATGAACACAGTTCATCCGATGACGATGAAGACGTGCTTGAAGCAGTTATCGTCGGAAAGCAGGAGCGAAAGCGGCGGCCAAGTAGTAGCCCATCTAAGAAACCGCGTCCGTCCATGGCATGCCCTGGTCGCAAAGTGCAGGTGATCGTTACAGCTCCACGTTCCCGACAGGAACGACCAAGGAAGAGCTCGACAAGTTCAGGATACACGACTGGTGCTGGTGTCGTTTGTCTCCGTGACAGTCGCAGAAGAGCACGTCCGAGTAGTGTGTCTCGGAGCGGAAAAGGATGTGCTCGTCCTGGTACGAAGCAAGGCGGCCGTACGAATGACAGCAAACGCCGTTGTTAGTACCGAAGTGGCATCGGCTGGATGGGATCAAAGCCATTTGACGAGGGTAAACGGGTGGCTATCTCATTGTGTTTTGTGGCTTACCGATGGACGAGGAGACTCGCGGCAGTGGCTGCGGTAGCACATGCGATGAACGATAGACTGAAGTACAGCGGGGAACTGGGCGGCAACTCAATAATCGCCCGACTCAACTCTTTGACTGACGGTCTACGGTTCCGCACAGATGCGTTGTCGCTGTCTGTTACCAGGCGGCCAGCTTCCTCGGGGTCCCTCGCGTGCGCATTGAAGCTGCTGCAGTTGTTATTGGTATCGCTTGGACTCGAGGGCTCGGAAGATCTGCTCACTAGCGACGGCGCCCTAGTTGGATACCCCGAGTCTCCATTCGATCCGATGCCGAGCTGTTTCTCGTGAGTCATTACAACGCGATGCTCATCCTCTGACTCGGCAGCATGTGATATCGGGCGGTTGTCAAGGGCTAACACATTGGCAGCAGTCAATGTGAAGCTGTCCAGATCGTCCATACTCAACGTTTTGTGTCTTCCGACTCGCGCTCGACTCTCGGTGGGACTACCTCCAGACGAATGCTGGTGACGGAGGACCCGATTCTTCAGACGCAAGGCTGCAACCTCCCGTGTGGCATCCTGCAGTAGCTGCTCCATGATTTCACTCTCACAGAGCTCTCCCACGTCAACACGATTGCCAACGCCACCGGAGCTACTTTCCCGTTCGCGCTGTTGCTCGAGTGCCTGCATGAGCTGCCTCTGGAACTGCTCAAATGTCTTGGTGACACGCTCTGTCTCGGCTTGCGCGCTCGCTGTGCGGTTCTCCGCTACCTGCAGCTGAGTCGTTGCGCGAGCTTTGCACAGATCCAGCTTCTGAATGCAGTCGTCTCGAGCCGACATGTTCGCTTGCAGCTCGACGTTTTCGGCTTCCAACCGCCGCAGGGTGCGGCGCAGTGTATGTCGTCCAGCTTGTATTCCTTCGAGCTCTTTTGATTGCTGTTCTAACTGCGCTGTCAAGAACTCACGCTCTGTCTGTGCACGTAGGAGCTCGAGACTCTGTTGACTGTTTTGCTGTTGCAGTTGTGTGACCTCTTCTTCGAGCTGTCGCCGACGAAGCTGCTCCCGTTCGCAAGCAAGTTCCGACTGCAAGCACCGTCGATTGACTTCGTCAACGCGCTGTTCAAGTTGCAGCATACTAGCTCTTCGAGTCGCGCATTGTTCACATGAGACCGCTGTGGCACCACTTCTACATGAGGTGAGTGAAGGCGGTTGCTGCTGCATCTGTTGCTCAGGGTTTCGTACGTTCTGTGCTCCTGTCAGGTTCCAAGACTCACATGGTACATTGTAGCGCTGCAACGCCGTCTCCAGAGCGACATTTCGATCGTATACTCGCTGTGTCTCTCGCACCACCTCGTCCCGCTCCAGCTGCACAGCTTCCAGGATATCCTGCACACTGTCAAGCTCCTTCCGTGCAGCAGCAAGTTCTTCCAGCAAGGCGTTGCCCGCATTAGCAGCCAAGCAGACGTTGTGTTGCTCGCTCGCCAGGTCTGCCAGGACTCGCGCCAGTTTGTCCTCCACCAGCTGTTCTCTTGCAGTCGCGCCCCCGTCACTTTCAGCTACAAGATCGATGTGTTGGTGATGGAAGTTGTCATCGACCGTCGACCGAGCTCCAACTGCAGCATTTTTGCAGAGATTGGAACTCGCAATGCAACGACAGTCGTCGTTCGCAGCCACGTCGGTAGTCAATTGACTTTCCCGGTCAAGTTCCAAGTCGAGTCCCGTCGCAATCGTTTTAAATGCGCCCCATGGGTCCGTGCTCGAGGAATGTCGATGGCTTTGAGAACTGCTACTGGTTGTGGTTGGCGATGTAGAGATATCCCTCTGATCTGGACTCGTGCAGGCCATTGTTACAATCGACGATAGCAGAGACTTTGTCAAGTTTCTATTCGAACGGATCACAAGGGTGGGGAAAACGCTGCAGTGTCGGACTCTGGTCGATTGACGAGGAGAAGCGTCTGATGGTCTTTGGGTGTGGGTTTGTTTCGACTTTCGTAGCTCTTCGTGGGTGATGCACCAACCGTTGGGACTTGTCGCCCATTGCGTTTGTAACGCCTTTGTTTTGTGGAGCTCCTCGTAATCATGCGACATGTGCAGCACGGATTGAAGTGACGCTTCATGCTACTTTGTGATTACGGCGTGGAAACTGCCTTTATTCTATCGCTGACTGGATTCGTCCCTTCGTAACAACACGAGAAGTGCTGGTTTTCAGGACGCATGGGGCTTTTCGATCATTTGAGTCCAACTTCCGTCCGGACGTAAATCTCAACTCGGGTCTCGCGTGACAGTCGCAATGAAGTTTGTTGACAGTCGACACTTTCAAGTTCATGTTCCACCTGAACGTTGAAGATCGTGGACGACTGGGCACGACAGCTACAATCTTTTTGGAATCGATGGTCTCGGCTGACTTGAATGTGGGGTCAATGCCCTCAGGTGGAGAAGACGAGGAAAGTTGGTGACGACAGGATGACGAGGCGATGCCATCGAGAGCGACCAAATCAAGAACCGGCTATCCGCCCAGTGTGCATGATCCTGGTACTTCATCAGCCATTCACGTCGCAGCTTCACCACTTCCTCATGGTGTTTACTTCTGCTTGATGATGAAGAAGACTCATGCTCATCATGCGCTTTTTGCAGCAGAACACGCACAACCAATGTACCCACGAAGAAATTGCAGGTCTCACGTTGCAGTCAGTCTACTGCAGCTGAGTCAAGCCGCATTCAGAAAGCACCGACAGCTAAAGTCGGCATCTCATTGATGCCGCCATGACCTGCTGGCTGGTCGCTCTGCTTTCTGTACTACAGCCTAATCCTCCTGACAATTCACAGCCGATCTGTACCTGACCGTGGAGTTCCCTTGACAAGTTGATTCCAGTCACGTTGCAGCCAACATCTCATAGACAATTGTCGGAGCCCTTGTAACTTTACCGCTGCATAAGACTAGACAGCAACTGACTCAAAAGGCAGCAACAAGTGCTTTGACGTCTCTACGTCGACACAAACATCCTCTCTGACAGCAATCTTTCTATCTACAAACACACATGAGCCGCTATCGCTGATGCTAACTTGGTCCTGACTTTCCAGACAACACCTGCACTGCAACGTTAACTACTGCACCACCACCCAAGCAACCCTCAGCAAAAAATAGCTTGCAACTCACCGTCGCTTGTATAATCACATCATGCATCCCACGACCAAAAACCAACGAGGGTAGCAGCACCGGAGGTCGCAACATAAATTACAATGGCAGCGTCGTCTTAACACTTTCTCAACAGCGTCCAGAGCAAGCAGGTTGTCACGCTCACGCACGCCTCTCCACTCGACTGGGTCACACACTGTCCATCTATCCATGAACATAGTTACGAAATCCCCGATGAACGCATCAGTCCACCGCCTCGCTCGGCTAGAAACGTCCCACTCGGCACGACAAAGTCCGTGTAGCGTCCAGCTCCTGCTGCTTGCACTGCGAGCGCCACATGGAGACACCGCAGCCACTCTTTCATGTCACTTTCCGTGTACGCACTGAGCAGCACACGACGGGTCTTGCCACGAATCGCGAATCGCCACATCGAAGCTTGCGAGCCGTCAAACACCGAGTCCCGCGGCATGATCTCAATGCTTTTCCCATTGCACTTGGCCAAGTCAATCTCTCCCCGTTTCCGGCCCTGTTCTTCTCGGAAAAACGTCATCTTCGTGCTTGTCAACACCACGTAGCGCACCTTCCAGCCACCGTAGCGCAACCCAAAGCCTTGTTTGAACAGCAGCCCCGACTTGATCACGCCTCCCCGTGGCAAATTAGCCGCTCGCACCATCACGCTCTCCCTCGACATCGTGAAGCCATTTTCATCCACCACCAGAGTCCGCGGCAGTCTCGACGGGTCGCAAATGATCGTGTCAATGTCGTTATCGTCGTCGTCACTAGCCGATCGCTCCAATAACGGAATGGGCCCTGAGACGGGCATGGCCATCACTGCTAAGACCGACTCGGCTCGATCATGTCGCAGATGTTCAAAAGCCAAAGATGTCGTCGCACGGTCCGCCTCGTCTGCTGTACCGTAATCGTCAGTCGGGTTCGAGCGGTTTACCGGTTTCTGGAACGTCACGCGGGACAAGCGATGGCTACATTTCACAAACGAGTCCCCAGTATCGGAGCTGCTCGTTTCGCTGCTGCTGCTGCTGTCGTCGGCGTCGTCCTTCCATTCGCCAATATTCACCACATCGGCGCTTTTTCGACCAGTCATACGCAGGAGATGGTGTTTGTACACCCCAAGTGGACGCTGTTGCGCGTACTGGGCCGCCTGCAGCTGTTGCTGCGACATGCGCACCATTCGCGACGAGCGAAACGCCAAGAGACTTGACCGCGCGAGGCAGTCGCCGGGGTCGCTCACGTGGGGCTCCATAATCGCTGGCACTTCGGCGTCGTACGTGTTGCTGTAGCTGCAGCGACTCGGCCGCCAGCTCGAGTCCAGTACCGCGCGCGAGGCAGCGGTGGCCGCCTTTTGTCGAGGCGCCATTTGTTTCACAAGTGACGATGGCACTTCGATGGGCAGCAGCGGCTAGTGAGACGGAAGCGACGACGGACTCAGTGGATGCAATAGAGACAGAGAGACAAACAGAGAGACAGGAGGGGGGGTCGGGGTCGACCTGCACACGGGCGCTACCACACAAGTCAGGGAAGGGTGGATTTTCTGCGCGTGAGTAATGTGCTGAACGTTTCGGGGCATAGAAGAGGACGCGCATAGTCAAGTCGAGTCGAGTCTGCTCGCTAGCTCTCTATATCGATATATCGGTATTTATCTCTTCTCTCTTCTCTCTCTCCTCTTAGTGTGTGTTTGGTCGTGTCGCGCGAATGTACAAAGACGTGGGAATCAGATGGACTTGTTTCTGTGCACCTGCGACAGATAAGACCCAAAGGGACTCGATATGAGAGGTCACGAGATGGAACATCGGGTGAGAATCTTCGGACAGCAGCGAGCGACCTGTGAAACTCGATATCTTGTCAACACGTTGCGGGATCAGTCGAGAGTGGGACCGCTTTCCGTGATGCTCTCCAGTCGCGTAGATCAACAGGGTCGTACTGGCGAGATTTGGCAATCGACGAAGGTCAGAGCATCAAGAACTTGCTGTCGTTTGCGTCCGACGTGGCGTCGATGCTGATTGAGCTTTTACCTTGACTTGTGGAGGAGTGAGTTGGTGGGATTCGTTCGGGCAAAATGCTCTCTCTTTACTCTTTTCACTCTCTCCCTCTCGTGCATCGCACAAGAGACCGAGAGTGGCCGGTTTATGAGCCTTTTCTCTGTCTCATGCACGGGTGGAAACGTGAATGCGGTCCACGGCTTTTCATTTCTGCGGCTCTCGTGGCTTGAAGCGACGATGCGAGAGGTTAGGAGAGGAGACGCGCCCTCGAGTTTGTTGCAGGTAGGTAGGTATACGGTCATCTGGTGACAACGCCGGACCTGCTGCTGTAGGTGAACCACAAAGGAGTTGCAAACGTGTTTCCTTCGACGCACATGTACTCGTCTGTCTATCCATCCATCGTGTAGTTGCAACCCTTGAGTGAATGGAACGAGAGCCGCCTGATTGTCGTCTCGCGATAAACACGTCTCGCTCATTATCACCATTACCACCACCAATACCAACGTAAAGCTACTGCGTACATTATTTAGTTACAGCGTTCTTTCTATACATACATGCACATCTATGTGGCTGCCTATACATTTACATCTACCTATCTCCTTATCCTAACCGATTCACCTATCGATCTACCTATCCTCGACTACATCATGTCGGACATAGCAGCTATGTGAGCCTCGCTCCATCCTTTTCTCTTACTTCAGCTGACCAACTCGTTTCGATTTTTATCCAATCGAATGCTCTCGTTTTAAAATCTACCCACGTGACGGATGGACGTAGGCTTCAAGCAGAAGAAGAAGGAGAAGAAGAAGAAGGAGAACAAGCGAAGGCGGAGGCAACCAGACAGGTCATTAGACGATGCAGAAGACAAAGGGGTTAGTAGGGACAACGAGGACGAAGGCAGCGAAGCGCTGGACGTGGAGAAGCGCATCGAGGAGCTCCGCGAGGACCAACGACTGCGCCAGCAGGTGTTCAAAGAAGGATTGGCCAATCACCGGCCTCGAAAGCCGTTATCGAAGCGAAAAGTCGAGGCGTTAAGTAACACGAGTCAATATGGACTTCATGACCCGAAGAAAGACGGGTCGACGAATCAGAAGCTCTTGACGCTGCTGGATGGACAGTTTACGGGGCAGAGCGCGACGACGGACAAGGAGCAGCACGAAGAGCTCATGAACAAGTTTATTGACGAGAAACTATCGCAGATGAAGACGAGAAAAAAACAGAAGGAGAGTGGGACGCAGCAGACGGAGCACTGCCAGCAGCTGGACGAGGCCAGTGCAGCTCTGCAGCGAGCCGAAGACCAGCTGTTTGAGCTGCCGGAACATTTGATCCCGGATGTCTCGAGTCGCGTTGAAGGCGACAATGACGGGACAGACGGGGGGATGCTGCTGGGCAGTGCGGGCATTGCTGAGGTGGAACTGCCGTCAATGTACTCGGAAAAGACAGTGGCCGCAACGAGAAAAGCACTCGAGAAGAGCCGAAGAGGCGGTCCGAAGCTGGATGCGATCGGAGGGATGGTGAATACGGCGCTGCCTGCCAATTTCAGTGTCGACTTTAATCGACACAGGACGGACTATGTTGCAGAGATGAAGAGTTTGAATCGAGGTACGTAGAGGCGGTGTCGGTGACGTGAGTGAGTGGGAGATGGGCTTTGCTGATACAGATAATGTTGCTTCTTGCTTGCAGATGAACAGCGGGGGCGAGGGTTTCACCAAGGTTTGCTGTTTGGGATATCTTGAGGCGAGGTATACTTGCCGGTGCTGACCGCTTGTGTATCCTTTGTGCAGGGAGGAAAAACCAAGCAAGTGATGATCGTGCTGTATCGCGGTTCCGGAAGTTTGAGAGTCGCAAGCTGCGACGATAGATTTGGCACAATGGTGACGATGTGGCAAACCTTGCGCGTGCATTTGCTTTGGTACTACAGCGTTGAGTTTTGGTCATTGCACCACATTCTCGATGGAATCCGACATTGTTCGCGAGGTAGTAAGTAGTGACAGAGCGCTTGAACGATAGTGAGACAATTCGGGGTCTTACGTCTAAACTGGTGTACGACCCTTTAGATATGCTGCCCTCAAATGCTGGTAACTAGAACGAATACTAACACGCTACTACCTGCCACATTCAGCTCGCACTATTGCATAAAATGACTTGCAAATTTAGCTTACAATTGACTCGTCTTTGGACTTGCGTGGCGCTCTATCATGGAACACCTCCACTGTCAGCTTGACGATAGATACGACCTGTGATCTATACAAACTGGATGCGTCTCGCCCTGTTGGCGTTCCCACGGTCAAGCTGACCGATCAGGTCTTCAGCGGTACTACGTCTTGCAGCGCTAAGGGGGACCGAGAAAAAAACGACGAAGGTCTCAATATCTTAGATGATAAAATGGTCAACGTTAAGACACTGCGCCATCCCCGCTATGGTGGTTCACATGCTATCGTTCCAAGGATAGACAGTAGTAGAAATGCCGAATTTCTGGTGAGTACTGGAGTACTCGGTGTCTCGCTTTCGTTTATTTGCTCGATGTCGATACTTACAGGAACCGAAGCTGTCAATATAACAACTTGCATGACATTTTACGCCTGAAGGTGAGTGTTTTACATAGCGTGTCGGTAAGATTTGCTGCATGCCTTTCACTGTGTTGTTTGTCGAGACTAAATCGCGTCAATGTGCAGGCGACGATGGTATCCGAGATGTTCGATTATTCATGTACACTTTAGCAACTCATTTATCGCCATAAAGAGAGGGACGGGTGCCGTAGACATTTTTTGGTTCTAAATATAGACAACGAGATCAAGACACAAGACGACAAAACAACGACATCCATTCCAAACTCATCGAATCACTCGGCGCAAGAAAGCAGTCCCTGCGAAAACGCATCGGCTACTTCACACTGCAAAATGACATTTCCGCCCGCTCGGAAAAAAAGTGTTTTACACCCATCATGTGCTGTCCTCTTTTTTCTCACCGAAATGTGTGGTACACATCCCAACCCTCGCGCGAGTGACCTCCTCGACATTCGCCCCGTCATGAGCTGGCTGTGGGGCAACGAGACCACGGAGCAGGCGCAGTTCGTCGTGAGCGCCCTCCAAGGCGAACTGGACGAGCGGGAGAGCAAGATCAAGGCGCTGGAGGCGGCACTAAAGCGGGAGCAGCAGGACTTGACGGCGGTCTTGGAGGATGAAGTGAAGGAGCTCGAGATGCGGCGTCAAGTCCTTCAGAAGGAGCTGGACGACGTAAATGCACTGATTGTCGATAAAAAAGAGCTTCTTTTACAAAGCAAAACCGATGGAAACAAGCAGAAAAAAACAAAGAAAAAGAAGAAAAGTGGTACGGCAAAAATGGAACGAGGGGCTTGTAATGAGGCTGAAAAAGAGACTGGGCAGCTCATTGCGACCCAAAAAGAGGAGGAAAAGCCACCTGCTGCAGTCATAAGGTGGGCATACTGTGTACAGTTATAGAGCACAGAAAGTGGGCGTGAAGTTGTATTGGAACTGACCGATGAATTACTTGTGAACTTTTTTTTGCAGGTTGACTTCTGCCGATGTAACAGACTCCAGGAAAAAAAGTGCTGCCAATGGATCAACATTTGAAGCAAGTGGCAGAAGATGAGCCCAATGTGGCATTTATCATCCAACGGAGCAATGTGAGTCGAGTCGTTGGATACTCTTGAGTGTGTTTGTGTTTTTAGTTGCAGTTATTCCGCTGGTGATGAACTTGTGGTGTTCTTTTAATGCAAATTCACGGGCTATTTTTGGCACTTCCTATTGCAGAACTCCAATACGGTCGTCTATGCTGGCTGCAAGTCCGCGGATGGGGATGTTCTGGATCGGTCGAACCCGATTAAGGTGTATTGGATCATGTTTGAGAAGGAGGGCAAGCCGCGGGAAGAGTTGAACATGATTGAGCGGACGACAGCGTACGGCGTGACGTCCAAGCCCAGTGATGTACCGGGCGAGTTTATGGTCGCAATCGCTTCGTTGCGTGATCGTGACTGTACCTTGCGTTTGGACGAGCACGGCAATGTGATGGCTCTGACTACAATTGATGGCAAGAAGGGCATGTTGCTGCGTCGAGTGTTTGTCCAGATGACGACGAGTTGGGGCATCCCGACGGTGGACTATGTGGATATTTTCGGTGTCGATCCGAAGACGTTGGCACCTGTATACGAGAAGAAGAAGAACAAGTAGATGAAGGCGAGCGAGAGCGAAACGAGACCAAGGCGTCCGTGTTCGAGTGGAGCTGCCGTGCTTCTCATTTTTATTAGCTTTCGATCAAGTGAGACCACTATCGTGTCTTCAGGACCACGTCTAAATGGCGCGACGCATCATGATGAGGGCCGCAGCACCAAGTGTAGTGCCAAGTACACCACGTAGAACGTCCTCGGGTACATCGAGGGTAACGTACTTGGAAGTACAATAAACAGCAACAGCCAGCGAGCCACCGATGCGAGCGGCGGTTGGCAAGTGAACGGACTTTGCTCGTAGATTGAATATCGTCGATGACGCCGCCGTCGGGACCACCGACAGCAGCGACGTGCCGATGATTGTGGCTTGTGGCATGTCACTTGCAGCTGTTAGGTAGGATGTAATGAGGAGACCTCCGCCAAGGCCACAGAGTCCCGAGATGAAGCCTGAGACTGCACCGGCGAACACGTACTTGACGTTCACTGCAGCAAAGCCTTTCCAGTTGGCCTGTACCCGTTCCACGTACTGGTCCGACACCGTCGTGGATGTTGCTGGACCTGACGGGTCCACTGCACCTTTCTCCGACATGGTACGTGCCTTTTCAAGGTCCTTCTGCTGGGGCACAACAAACTGGAGATCCAACGGGTCCTGCCCGTCGCTCCACTTGGGCATGAGCGAGCTGTTCTTGAGGAAAATGAGTGGAGAGCATGCGAGCATGGCTGAACCCACGAGCAGTGACAGCTTTTTGCTGGAGAGTTGGTGAGCCGTTCGGACGCCGTATTTTGTGGCAATTATAGCTGGAATTGTCGTGGCCAAAGCCAGCGGGACGTTGCAAGCTCCGGACTGGATGTAGTTGGATGCTCCGACTGATGCAGCAATTGCAACTGCGCCAATTGAGGTGCCATTGATCACTTGCTGAGATAGGGACGTGAACTTGGCCAATGCCTATGGGTACAACAAATGGGTACATGTGAGCATAAACGAATGATAAAAATAAGTAAATAAACATATGGGACAGTAGATACAAAGAGACTGAAGAGCGATCAGATCAGACCGGAATCAGAATGATGCCTCCGCCAACGCCAGTCAATCCTGAGACGATACCCGCTAGACTGCCTAGTTTATGTAAAAAGAGTACAATAATAGGTGTGGGAGACAGTTAGAGAGCATGTCTTTTTGAGGACGCAACTTAAACGGGTAGACCGAATAGATAGGAGGTCCACAGTGGTAAGTAAAATAAACGGAATCAAGTGACGGGAAAATATGTTTCGTACCCGCAGCAATACCGACTTTTAGTGGGATAGCAGTGCTCACGATTGGCTTCTTGTGTACAGAACACAGTACGCGGTGGTGAGCGATACGATGGAGCGACGCGTGATGCTGCTGAGACGAGCGGCAGAGTGTACGCGCGAGCATCTTTTTGTTCGATGACGACGAAAAGCCGCTGCAATTGTACGACTAATTAGGGTTAAAGATACTGCAAGTAGATTTTTATTTGACAAGCAAATACGACAAAGAGGTGATTTCTGATTGGCTGTTGGAAATCGCTTAATTGCAATGTAAAGTTTCTGCTTGCTCGAACGTACCATGACATTTGGATTTATCACAATCGGTGCAAAAGGTGCTCATCAAGTTTGAGAGGTTTAAAAGGACGTGGTAAGGGCAGTTTAAACGTTCGATAGAAGCAAGCTTCATGGCGTAAAACTTGCCTACGTTCTAAAGCTGAGCCTTTGCGATACAGCAATCATGTAGCGCGAAAATACTCGCACTGTGTTATCTATCACTCAGAGTGCAATTTGTTCTGATCGCTTTTCTACATCTAACGTGTCATCTCGGCCTCAACACGGAATCATACTCTAGTTCGTGAAACACATGTCGTTATTACGCGTGCAACTCAAAAGACTCATGCACTTTGCCTATGTTAAATGCTGAGCTATTTCAAGCGAGCTGCATCATCAAAAACACTTTGCATTGTAGTTACGTCTTGTTAAGCCAAAAAACTACCACTCGCGTCGGCGCTTGATACGTTAATTAACCTACTCTCACGCACTTTTCTGTCTGCGTGACTGCAGTTGGCAAATTTGTGCCCTACAATCATTTGACGAAAAGCTTCTTGAGGGGGCGTTGATTGTAGATATCCATTTTCAAGATAACAAAGTTGCGTTACACCAATAGGGGGTGGATAACGCAGCGAGAGTTCTGGTGCGATTGATTCTACGTGGATATTTAGTCAGCGAGAGCGTAGCCACGTATTCCAACTTTGGCTCGCAGAGAATCCGGAAGTGATTGGCGTGAAGAATCCCAATCTCGATCCATGCGCCGTTTTTCCACCAAAGTTGCTAAGCCGCTCCATCAGCACTCGAAGAAGGTCGAGAACAAGACGAACCAAGAAGCCTCGCTTCAGCGAAAATCCACTGCAGAAGTAGCAGTCAACACGGAGAGCAACTTCTTGAGCCATTTTGCGGCATTCGATAGCTTGGAACACTACGTGGACGTCACGATGGTCGAGTATACCAAAAAGGACGACAGCGACAAGCCATAGCAACGTCTTCCCCGGATCTAGGACGATGCTGAATGCAGACAACACAGAACACGAGATAGTGTGAAGGCCTTTGTTCGAGAACCAAACCAAATTTGAAACCCTTGTTCCTTACCTGAACGAAGAATGGCATCACTGGAATCCTTTTGCCTAGATGAGCATGATCATCGGATCCTCGCCGTCCTGGATGTACATGACCTTATTCTGCTCTTCCAGATCCACCAGCACTTTTTCAACGTCAGCACGGGCAATCGCGTCGTTCTTGGAGCGACCATGGTTCAGTCGCGACAAAATGCTCATCAGTGAGATGTTGTCGTTCGCATCGTCGATAGTGGTATCGCTGCCCATCTCTGACAACAGGCTTAGAATGTCATCAGCGAGCGTACCAGAGCTGTTTGCAATAGTATAGGAATCGACAAGTAAGCAAATGTCCATACGCACAACAGATTAGAACAGAGTGACGTACCTCCACGATGCTCGATCTCGTTTTCTGGATTTCTCGATCGAAATGGGCTTCTCCGGTGTCAAAGGACTTTCAATCTCCAACTCTGCCATAGCCTTCTCGCTGCCAGTTTCCGGTTCTTGGGTCACCTCTGGTCGCGTGTTATCCGTGTGGGGCTCCGACGCATCATGGTACAGCGCAAAACTAATCAATGACATGACCTTTTCAGCATCCACTGCATCCACTGTCTTGCTTAGCCGTGCCTTTGCATGCGCCGACGCAAGACGAATCAACGTTTCTAAAGTACGCGCTGTCACAGGCAATGTCCGCGCATTCTGCTGAGAACGCAGCTCAGCGTATCCCTCGGAGATCAGCTCGATCGCACTATCTGTCAACACGGGCTGGTAACGCATCTTGGCGTAATAAATGTACTTCTTGAGAAAATCTAGCGTGAGGATACCGTTGCCACTACCGGCATATGATGAGGACTGGTACCCACCATGAAGCAGCGGGTCAAACTTCTGGAATATGGACACCTTCGAGTGGTCGTCAGTGGGTTCGTTAAGCGAAGCCATGTGATCCGTTGAGCTCACTTCGAACGAGAGCGGGATGCCTTCTTGACCCGGGCGAGTATACCGATGCATACGCAAGACATGGTCCGAGATGTTGCGGTCGGCACCACGATCGAGGCGATCAAGCACCACGAAAAGCAAATCAAAACGGGACAAGAGCGAATCCGGCAGACCGATGTTCTCCTGTGGCTTCTTGTTTTTGTCGTACTGACCATACACGGGGTTTGCCGCGGCCAATACACTGCAGCGGGCGTTCAGGGTGGCGTGGATGCCAGCCTTAGCAATCGTCACTGTCTGCTGTTCCATGACTTCGTGTATAGCCACACGATCTGCTTCGCTACAATGAGTATCCAAGTCAGCCAGGTTTGATGCGCAAAGCTATATAGCACGCCAAGTTTTTTTACCTCATTTTGTCGAACTCGTCGATACATACAATGCCTCGGTCGGCAAGCACCATTGCACCAGCTTCGAGTCGGCGCTCCTTGGTGTCAGGGTCGATAGTGACAGCGGCGGTCAAACCCACACCGGACGAGCCACGACCTGTAGTGTTAACGGCTAGAGGTGCGATTGTCCGAACAAAACGCAGTAGCTGAGACTTGGCGGTCGATGGGTCACCTACCATCAAGATCTGCAAAATCAAAAACAGCGGATGTCAACAACACCGCGCACGACATCAATGCGAGATCGAGGCAAGCACACACTCACATTAACGTCACCACGAAGATGGGTACCGTTTTCGAGATTTTTCTCCATGCCACCTAGCAGCTGGAGTAACAGCGCCTGCTTAATCTCGCCATGACCGTAGATCGACGGCGCAATCGATCGCGAAAGCATTTCGAATGCGTTCGTATGTTTTGCAAACTCTCGGACATTCAACAGATCGTCGGGCGACATGACAATACCATTGACGTCCTTGCCCATGAGTTGAACATTATTAGCAATCAGCACTGTCCGAAAAACTGCTGTCGTGGATGCAGTGCTGTTTCCACCAAGAGGACGGTAAATGCCAACTATACGGACACGATCACCAGGTTTGCACTTGTCAACCATGTCGTTCTCGACAATAACCTCACACGACCGGGGCAGTTGTCCAAGTGGTGCCGTTTCCGGCGTCTCTTGCATACTAATCATTTGATAGTCTTTATACTGCGACAGACCAAACTCGGTCTCCAGTAAATTCCCATGTTCGTCCTTTGTCGGATAGACACTCGACGTCGGGGCCCCTGTAATAGACGTATTGTCTCGATACTCTCTCGACAAAATGGCATTGGTCTCCTTGCAATAATGCACGGAACGGACAACTTTGGGTCGCACAGCAGAGCACTTGGTGGCAATGCCATGGACACACACCATCTGAGTCAAGTACGAGGCCAAGAGACCTCTTGGATTGACATTATGATGGCCAAAGTCGCCTTCAAAGCCCACGTGGAACTGCATGGCCTTAGTTTCTTCAGCTTCTTTGCCGCCGTAGAGACTGTCCATATTAAACACCGTCTCCTTCACTGCCTCTTCAAATGGAGGGACAAACTCGGCCGGAGCACGCAGCAACCGGTTCACAATGTTCTCCTGCGTACCCACTGCAGGGTCCGTGAACGAACTGTCGTACTCGCGCAAATCATTGAGGTCAATGACCAGTCGCGTGTGTTTGTGGTGCATCATACTGCGAAGTTTGTCCGTGTATTTACCGTAATTCGCCTAAATTTAGCACGAAAAGCACAGTCACTAATGTGAGGGTTTTGACAAATCACCACATAAAATCAAGGTGGTTTTGTTATAACAGACACCTCATTGACACGGCCACGATCACCCGATAGCCACACGCACCTCCTCGTTGCTCAGGAACTCGTGGAAGTACTGCTTATGACGACGGAAGGCTTCGTCCAGCGCGTCTTGCTGCAGTTCCATGGCGTCCGCTCGTGCCGCAAGCGCGCGAAAAGTCAAGTGTCGCCTCTCGGTGGTTTAAAAACTGGCTGGGGATGAGGAGATTTCGAAAGAGTGACGGGGCCGACACGATCGTGGCGACTGTGGAATTTTTGGATCGACGAAAAGTGGCCAGATCTGAGTGACAGGACAAGTTTGGGAAAGACCAAGGAATTGCGCTGATTTAACGAGTGGTTTTTGTCGATCGACGAAAAGATCCGTCGAAAAACTCGGATATTGCATCGTCGTTGATGTTGGATCTCTTTTCCGGTTTGGATGACATCGATGGGTACGCCCCGCTTGGATTTTATAAAAAGGTACGCTGCATGGATGATTTTCTACGGCTTGGATATTATCGGTACGCAGCAATTGCTGCAGGAAAGCCTTGAGTTGCGGATGCATTGCAGCTTTAAGATTAGGGACCAAGCTCTGGAGCTCGCCCCTTGATATTAGTAATTCAGTTCATAGAACCGAATCAGGTTGAAAAAGACTATACAATAGTAGTCACTGAAGAATGAGTGGGATGCTATCAGTGCCGGTACTAACCCAGTGTAGTTGGCTAGAACAACACGATCGGCATTGGCATACGAGCGTCCAGCACTTGCTTATGTGATCATATCTACCTTTGATCGAGTCGAAGCCAATCAGGTATGTGTATCACAATATTGACCTAGCCATGAAGTGACCTGGCACCTATCATGCTAATCGACGTATGAGGAAGGAACATGCTCGGTGCACTTCGTACGTGTAACGGAGCACCCTTACTTTATGGTGCCACGAAACTCCACGTACATAGTACGTGTAGAAGAAGCTAATCTACTTAAATGCTAGTTTGAGTGAAGGGTAAAAAAGAACTGTATTTAATAAAGTTGAGCTATCGATATAACTTCAGTCTTTATCTAACTCTATTAATCGATATTGTCGCATGAAGACAACCTGCTCACCACTCATTACGCGCGTCTAGCAGCGATGGTGGTCACTTTGGTTTACATGTATTTATCAACCAATCGTTGAGCAGCGCATGAATGCTATCCTAAAAGGAGATAAATATTCCTTCAATATTATCCATCTCGGATAATATTGGCAGGGAATTATCACGCTAGCATTTCTCTATTGACACTGTTCGGTGTCAATATCGTGTAACGGACTACCCCTTACATAAACCTCATTAACCATCAATCACCCTTTGATTGAATTATAATTGATTGAGACAGGGTGACCACCGTTGGATCACTTTGGGAAAGGGAGCACTTGTTGGTCAAATTCCATTCATTTGCCAATCCAACGCATGGTTTCGATCTCATAGCGAGTTGCTGCTGCAGCAGCAAGAAAGGCGGCTGCACACATGCGTGCAGCCGGAGAGAGTACTTTTCACGCCTCAGCAGCAGGTATTTCGTCGCCAGTTGTTGTGAATCGTCCACATGGTGAGTCACCATGTGCGATACCGCGAGTCGTAAGTAAGATGAGTCTGAAATAGAGCTCATCTATTCTTGAGAGAGTACTTTTCACGCCTCAGCAGCAGGTATTTCGTCGCCTGTTGTTGGGAATCGTCCACGTGGTGAGTCCTCACGTGCGATACCACGAGTCGTAAGTAAGATGAGTCTGAAATAGAGCTCATCTATTCTTGATAGAGAACTTCTCACGCCTCAGCAGCAGGTAATTCGTTACCTGTTGTTGTGACAGTCCACGTGGTGAGACACCACGTGCGATGGGTACCGCGAATCGCAATCTAGATGAGCCGGAAATAGATATCACCTATTCTGGCGAGTCGGATGATGTATCCGACTCGAAGGCGACACCTCACGCCTCCGGATCGTCTGGGGTGAACACTGCAAGAGCCAGTTTGACTGGCTCTGGTCACCGTGGCGGTATCATGCTCGAGATCTTCGGACCAAGTAATTCTTCTGTCGAATTCTCGTCTCAAGCAAGTCCATCCTACGATAGGTCGCGTGATGATGGTGGTGATGCCCCTATGCATCACCACGAGAGAAGCAACTCGAGGGATCGAGCTGCCACTGGTGTCAGTGCTCATGATGACACCACAAAAGAGGCCAGGGACCAAAATGCCCTGCGCCACGCTCCTCAAGTGGAGTCTCCTCGGATGCCGTCATCCAAAGAGTTAGATCGAGTGGCCGGCATGACCACCCAACGGGATCGAAACCCGTTGTTTGACAGTAGGAGGATCTGTGCTCCTAATTTCAGCACGGAAACTATCCGTGCTGAGGAAGAGTTCTTCACCGATGTGTTTTTCAAACATCGGTGGTACAATGGCAACCGCGATCGAGACGGTAAGGCCTTGGTGCAAGGATGGAATGCTCTCATCCATAACATCGAGTGCATTGGCCGTGAGGCCTGGCTCGGTAATCTTGATGCACTCTCGTGGATTGATTCGTGTCCAAGCTGCCTGGACAACTCGAATCGCGCCCGTAGGGAGGCTTACCTCGATAGTGTTTCCTACTGGAGGGCTCGCATCTCTGCTGAGATGGCCAAATGTATTAACACTTTGCAATACCTGCACTTGCGTTCGGGGAGGTCATTTTACGACTGCCCTTCTTCGAACGCAGCGGGTAAGTCGCGTCATTTTGCTCGACGAGACCCAGGACATCAACAATCAGCTGGGCATCGAGGCTCCCAGCTGTCCCAGGCTGGTGGATAGCCACGCCAGCGGACGAGGTAACCCGTTCGGACACTGAATACGTCGCGGTGGTTCAAAATACGCTATACCAGGAAGCGTTAGCCATCACCTGAGTCCACCGAAAGATGTGGTGGTGGCGGGAACACCTGATCCGGCTCGAGGTTCGGATAAGATTGATGTTCAAGAGCTGAACCGTGTAACGGAACAGTTACATGACGACCTGGCTCATGAACGGACTCGGCGTTATGAACGTCATGACCTTGTAAAGTATAGCTACTATTCCATAGCGCATGATCGTTCGAGCGATCGTGCCGCGTTTGCGTTCGCGCAGCTTGAGAACGAACGTTCGGTTCGTTCTCTTCGTGACAAGCTGACTGCAGCTCGTCAGGACATCGCGCAATTGCGTGAGCAGGTCTCTTTGCTAGTCGACCAGACTGGCTCGTTGAAACGGGACCACTCGAAGGTGGTCTCGGCCCTTGACCGCGAAGGTGTTCTCCGCCCTTTGAAACGGGCTCGTACTAATAGTACGGGCGGAGACGTTCAACATTAAAGGTAGGATGCGTACGCATGCGTGGTAAAGTCGATTAAGATCGGTTTCGTAAAACCTCAAACGTATGCCTAAGTACGGAGTAGGGACCGGTGGAATGATCGTGGGACGAGGACCAATCATATGGATGGCACCGTTGGGATCATTCACGGAAATATCTCATCCAGTCAGAACGGTTCAGGACGGTTCAGAACGGCAAAAAAGACCGCGATCAAGGGACCACGGTCAGGGGGCCGCGATTGTGGGACCGCGATCAGGGAACCGCGATCAGGGGACTGTGACCAGGGGACCTCGATCAGGGGCCGCGATCAGGGGCCGCGATCAAGGGACCGCGATCTGGCGTGGACTATGCCCTGATGCGGTCAGACGGTTGGTGTGTCAGGTCTGTGCCACATGGATACAAGGGGCGATCTGTAGAGGCGACGCGTGACATCTGATTTTCCGAGTTATAGGGGTAAGGTGTGAGGGTCTAATTGATTAACATTAAACAGAATTCAATTTGCTTTTAAACACATTCGTGTCGATCTTCTCCCGGGTTGGATATTTTGGCCTCCCGACGTCTGAGAATCTCTACATCAAGGATAGAACGATCACTCCTGGAGCTATTTGGCCAGGAGTGCTAAAACTCTAAACACACCCCTACTTCGATCGGACGCAGCCAACGGTATCGGCTGAAGTACAAGATCGCGAGACGGCTCAAGTGGCCAGAAAGGCTCGCGACTCAAGTACACATTTTGGCACAAGGTGATCAGGCCGGATCACGGCGACTCTAGGAGAGCGCCAACTTAGAATACGCGATCGGGTGAGGATTTCCACCCGATCAGCACCAATCTCTACAACGATCAAGTTTAGCATCTCGTTGAGTCCACATAGAAGAGTGCAACCCGCCCTGTCGACGGGTACACAAGGTGAGGAGGAAGCAAGTGCAAGCGGAATCGGAGTTCCTTCTCCGTTAGTCAGTCGTCTGGGCGCCAGTGGAGAGTCGGGATCGCCTCAAAAAATGAGCGAATCCCACTCCACCACACATGCAACAAGGCAGTTTAATCGTGTATGCGTTGCGCATACAGCGCAGCACGCGAAATGGACCGACATACTTGGGCAGTAATTTACTGCTGCCCATGTTTGCCACTGCGTGTTTCGGTAGGTTTACTGTAGACAGTAGAACTGTCTACGTTTCTTTTCTGTCCGTATAGTGCATCAGCAATTGAGTCTTGAACGAAGCGGACAACCGCTTCGCGAGTCAGCAGAAATTCCTCTGTTGATTCATCCTTGTCAACAGCAGTGCGCTTTGTGTACACTGCTGAAAGAACGTTGTCTCCACTAGTGAGGGCGTCATTTTTCTCACTGTGGCAGTCATTGGAGATGCTGAATATACCAGCATCGTCGTCATCATCGTCATCGGTGTCGATCGCATCGACATCGGCATCCATCACGTCGACACCGTTGTCGACGGGGGATGAGCAAGAACCAGATCGGTTTTCGTTTAAGCGAGTCCACCCCTATAAATTAGAGTCACACTCTATAAAGGCGGGTAAACTTGGGTGGCGTAGGCCATTCACGAAGAACGGTGTATGCATTGTTAAAGCGGGCAACGAGTTGTTGATGACGAATTCCGCCATAGTCAATGACTCACTCCAACTCGTAAACGGGTGAATATCCTCGAAGTATCTCTTCGAGGACTCAGTTGACGCGTTCCGTCCGACCATCTGTTTCATGATGGTCAGAAGTTGAAATCGTCAAACGTGTTCCAAGTGAACGGAACACGGATTGCCAGAAGTACGCTGTGAAGCAGGGGTCCCTATC